CAGTTTCCGTTATGAACCTCTCAGTGAACTTTGATATGCATATGGCCTTGCATACTGGGTTTATTATCATCAGATACATTCTACTGAATGGGTTGGCTGTCTGGAATGTATATAACTTCAGTTGTTAAAACACCACAGTACTTTCCAGTAGTTTTCCACCAGCAATAGAAGAGAGAACCTTTTAACTCTCTCTCTTGCCAGAACCAGATATTACTCTTGAACATTTTTGCCAATAAAATTAGTAAAAGAAAAAAAGATACAACGTTATAGTTTTCATCTTTTTTTATTGTTTATTTTATTTTTGAGAGAGAGAGAGTGTACAAACGTGGGGAGGGGCAGAGAGAGAGGGAGACACAATCCAAAACAGGCTCCAGGCTCTGAGATGTCAGCACAGAGTCCGACGTGGGGCTCGAACTCAAGAACCATGAGATCATGGCCTGAGCTGAATTCTTACACTAGCAAATGCAGGCTTGGTTCACTACTAGAGAATTCATCAATACAATTAATTGTACCTGCCAGCTGAAGACAAAAATCAAATCATTAAATTCTGCCCCTGAAACCAATATTATACTATATGTTAACTAAGTAGGATTTAAATAAAAATCTGAAAAAAATAAAAAAGACAAAAATCATGTAAGTGTTTCAATAGATACAGCAAAGAAACCTAACAAAATCTAGCATGCACACATGACCAAATCTCTTGGCAAACCAGAAACCTAGAACAGCCTTTTACTTTGTGAAGATCAAAATGTACTCATTTAATATTAATGCTTGACAAAATTGTTAATATTTAATTTTTTAACGCTTACCATTCACACATGGCTCAGAAATTAAAATACTATGGAAAGGTTTGTAGTGAGATCCTTCCTCCCATCCCCCGTCAGCCCAGGTCCTCCCTCCTCCTCCCCACAGCCACTGTTTGTTTCTTAGGTGTTCTTTCAGAATCATTTCGTACACATACAGGGGAATGAGAGCACGTATCCTCTCTCTTGCTTTTTACACGGATGATAGTGTCCTGCGTATTCTGTCGTGCTCCTGGCATTTTCCGTCATGAGTTTTTTCTAAAGGACAGACGTTTGGGGCGCCTGGGTGGCGCAGTCGGTTAGGCGTCCGACTTCAGCCAGGTCACGATCTCGCGGTCCGTGAGTTCGAGCCCCGCGTCAGGCTCTGGGCTGATGGCTCGGAGCCTGGAGCCTGTTTCCGATTCTGTGTCTCCCTCTCTCTCTGCCCCTCCCCCGTTCATGCTCTGTCTCTCTCTGTCCCAAAAATAAATAAACGTTGAAAAAAAAAAAAAAATTTAAAGGACAGACGTTTTTGCTAATTTCCGGTAGCCTTCTAGCTACCTTCCTACTTCTCTCAGCTATTGATCTCCTCTGATGTGGGACCTTACAGCCGTTCACTACTTGTATCTAGTTGTTTCTCCCACATCACCCTCCCACAAACATTCACGAAACAAATGCCGTCGTTGCTCTGTTAAAGATCACCAGTGCCCAGTCCCCTCTTGTTCAGACCAGTGGCTGTGCAGTCTTTGTCTTTGATTTTTTTGCCGTTCTTGCTCCTGATGACATAGCCATGGAAGTGTTCTTGTAAAACGTGGAAGGAAATGAGGAAAGGATTGTGGAGGCACACAGTCTGGGGAAAAGATACGCTGTAAGTAAGAAGGTCTATCACGGAACCTGTCTAAAGCCAAAGGATTTCTTCTCTGTGGCTCCTGAAAGGCACTCGCACTTTCCTTCGGGAGGTTTCTTGCTGGAGAGGAAAGAGCAGGACTTTGAGAGCCTTGATTTGAATCTTGACTCTACCCTGCACTAGCTGTATGACCTTGGACCATTCATTTCTTTCTGAGCTTCAGTCTCTTCATTTATAAAAGGCTACATCTTTATCATTTTCTAACAAATGGTAACTATAAATGGGAAGATATGCGTAAAGTGCCCAGCAGAGTCATGGACACTTTAGTCACTCCGAGGTCTGTTCTCATTCCTAGATCCAGAGCTTGCAGAGTTGGCTGTCCTGCTACTAGCCTGCAAGGAATGAATGATTACTGATTGGAATGTTTTCTTTGTGGGGCATGTGTCAAGTGTGATGGACCACGTAGATCAATCAGATCCATCACCCCTTCCTCCTTTTGATAGATCTGTAAAATGATAGATGTCTTAAATAAATCTCTGCTCGCATTTAAATCCTGAAAGCCAAAGTGTTTGGGCACAGGTAGGATATTTCTATATTTTTTCACGTGGCTTTCTGAAGGAGGAGGTGTGGGTCAAGTGTGGTCAGTTGGCTGTGGTGACCGTGCTGAAGAACAGAACTCTCCCCTGTGCTTAGAGTAGCAGCTGATGCCATAATACCTCCCAAGAGCTAACGTGCTGCATCTTGTAAGTACGAATGCCACCATTTGGGGCCAGAAAACACCTGCTAACCTCATCAAAAAGCCTTCAAAATGAAATTTGAGAAGAGGGACAAAATTCTGGATAAATAGCAAAGGAGCATGCCATGGAGTAGAATAATACTGACCTAGGACAAGGGTGGAAAGCATCTGCTCTGTAATACTTACAGGAGGACACGGAGAGCAGATGCTGGGGGTTCCTGATGTTTCTGCACAAGAAGTGTCCGTAGACTCTTGACAAAAGTAAATGCAGTCGTGGTGCCACTGAGAATTGGGGAGAGGTGCTTCTAACTAGGCATTTGAGTGCTTGCTAGAGGCACCGTGTTAAGTAAGCACTCCTCATTAAATCCTTACAAAATGTTATGAAGTAGATGTCTGCAGAAACTAATCTCCAATTTTAATGAAGACACTGAGGCTGAAGAATGTTCAGTAGTTAGAGGTAATAATCTGGTCTTAATGGGTAACATGACGGTGATGTAGCTTAATTTGTTTGCTGAGTTTACTTTCTCCTGTGCTGTGGCTGTCTCGATCCCCGACTTCCCCAGGGTTACAGAGAGCTTGCGCACTCTGCTTGCCTCCCAGACACGGAAGAGGCGAAAGAGTGAGTCATGGTTGTAGTTGGCAGGACCCTGTGGTGCTACTCCATCAACCACACGACAGTTCTACTTGGAACAAAACGACAACAGATTATAGCAACCGTTACGCTCTTCTTCCAGCCTCTAACTGATTTTATCGGTCATGTACGCAACTTCACTAAATTACCATCTGTCATACGTAATGTCCTCATTTTGTTTTGCACTGTCTACCTGCAGCTCCTCTCAGTTTCTTCCATCCACAAAGCCAGCTTAAGTTTTGTGTGATCTCACTGCACTACACTTGCAGCCCTCTTCCAGTTTCTTAGGTATTTGCTTGTCTTTCTCATCTTATCTTCTGCATCCCCACTGTCATATGCATTTCACCCCCTATCAATTATTTGCAGTTCCCCATGTCCAGCTCATGTTCCTTGAACCTTGTCTTGTCTGCCTGATATTTATAATGTCCCCTCTGGGAAGCTTCCTCAGGGCAGAGTTAGGTACTTTCTCTTTGTGTGATTTTCTTCAAGTATCTGATTTTTGGTCGCCTGTTGATATTATGGATGAAAGTTTAGGTTCTAGAATCTAGGGGGATTAATATGGGTTAACTAGAGTGAGTGTCCTCTAACTTTTCCTCCAACTTTCCTCATTACCCAGAGGCTCCCACCTCGAACGGAAGGACGGATACTGAGTCTATCTGAAAAGGGTGTTGATTGCCAGGATTTACTGGTGTGATGGAGAGTAGTTTCCAATAAAGAAGACTTTGATCTGGGGTCCCAAACCCCTTGCAGGAGTCCTCCCTGCCTCCTGCCAAGGTTTTGTTTCTTTGGTTTTAGATTCAAGTGCAGCTGCTGCCCGTGGCCATGTAGTCATGGGGATGGAAAGTGGAAAAGGAGGAGTGGAATGGTTATGGCTTTTCTATTCCTTAGGCATTCTTTTTTTCCTCTGTGCCTATTCCTGCTCTCCTAGCTCTGTTGGAGCCTCTCTAGAGCTCCACCAAGGTTTGGCACATTCATCCATTCATGACGTTTCTTGTGTTTTTTCCTGGGTTGTAGCTTTCTCTGCTCTTGTTTATGTATCAGCTCTGGATAGATTTATTACTTTTTCTTCCTATCATTTCAGTAAGGCGGAGCGGAAAGAAAGAGGCAGACCCATTTCCCCAATCTGTCTATCGTTTTGAAATTCTGAACCAGGGGTTCTGTTGACAACTTTGAGCATTTGGTTTTCTTATTTTTATTTTTATTTTTTTTTAATGTTTAGTCATTTTTGAGAGAGAGAGACAGAGCATGAGCGGGGAGGGGCAGAGAGAGAGGGACACAGAATCTGAAGCAGGCTCCAGGCTCTGAGTGTCCACACAGAGCCCGATTTCAGGCTCTAACTCATGAACTGTGAGAACCTGAGCCAAAGTCGGACGCTTAACTGAGCCACCCAGACGCCCCAGACAACTTTAAGCATTTGTGATTTTAAGAACTGAAACAAACTTACATAGTGAGTACATTATTGATTCCCATGTGTTTTATTGATAGAATTATTTGGAATGTTTATGGGATATGAAATTATTGTAAGCTGAAATACATGATCTTTTTATGAATAACTTGTGTTTAAAAAATAGTTAATGCAGCTTTTTAGAGCAAGGAAAGCCAAAGATACCCCAGATACCTGGGCAGAGAGGGTTGTGGGGAGGTCCCAGGCATTGCTGTTGGCTACTGATTGATAATTGGGGCCGGAAGCGAGGTTAACTCTGGCTCACATGATGTTTACATTCTAGAATTGGAAGGAGTAGCTTGTTTCCCAGAGTAGAATTTGCTAATTTTAGGTTGTCTTCCTTGACATGACACGAAGACAAAAGCTCTGCTACCTGAGGAAGAGTACTAAATAGTAGCTGTGGGGTTAGATTAGGTTGCAAGTTGTGTTTTATTTCATGAATGTAAAAGAATAATTTGCCATGTCTTTACTTCTAATAAGAGTGAAAATGAATCTGTATGCAACCTTATTTGTATTTCTTAATACATTCTGGGAAAGTTAATTGCAACTGTGTGGTTCAGGGATTTAGTGCAAGAAGAAGAACAGTTGATGGAAGAAAAGAAAAAGAAAAAAGACGACAAGAAAAAGAAGGAAGCTGCTCAAAAGAAGGTAGTATATATATGTATAAACTCTATATTAAGTGGTCTAAACAGATTTAAAAAGAAAGTTACTCTTATTGGATTTTTTAAGGCATTTGAATGTTTTAACTTCAGTTGAGATTCATTTTAACATTCAGTGTTTTGAATATGCATATATAGTAACTTGCCAAGTGTGTACAATTTAATGCATGGTTCTTTAACCTTGCCGATAGTGTTTTCAAAGGTAAGTGCTTTATACAGGTTTTTGTCTTTCAATTAACTCTTCCTAGGTTTTCATAATATATTTACACCTTACTATACGTGAGAAGAGCATGGAATTTGTAGCTGCATAGAGGGCTGCATTGAAATCTGTCTCTCCCACACAGCATACCGAACGGTGTGTCCTTAAACTTCATTTAGCCTCTCTGGGCCTTAGTTTCCTTGTGTTTTGTAAAATGAGAATTTAATTAAACAAAATAACGTAATACATATAATGCACACAATTGGGAATAAAGTGTCAATTTCCTTTTCACTTTTTATTTAGTACCTGGGCTGATTTCAAGAATTTGCTATTTACATTAAGATACTCTAAAATTAGCCTAGGACATAATTTACTGTAGATAATCTCTAGCCAGTACATTGTCAGAAACTGTAACTAAAGCAATACGAATTGCAGAAAACTAAAAGATTGTGTCCATGATTATAAAGATTTTTACAAATTAATACTGAATCCTGATGACAGCTGGGCACTCCTCTCCTCCTGTCTCAAGTTTTCAAGGACCTTAAAAATGTTCCAAAAGACCCAGTGAAATTACTGTTCCACCTGTCTATTCTAATGAAAATTATGACTTTAATTTGTAACCTCTACCTCTTTTGTGCCAGGCACCGTGTTACGGCTGCACACTTATCTCTGCATTATTTGTTAGGGAAAAACAGCACACACATCTGCGGTAGGTAGGGAGCTGTTGAAGCACACAGAACTGCTTCAGTCAGCCTGGAATGGGGCCGGGGAATGGGGACAATTTCTTAGAATAGAAATTAGCCCAGTGAACAAGGAGTAGAGTAGAAAGGGATTCCAAGCAGAGTCAACTCCGAGGTAAGCGTCCACAGCCTTACAGAAGTACAGGTTTTGATTGGCTGGGGTGAGACGCCAAGGGCAGAAACGTCCAAGGATAAGACTGCAGAGGGTGGTGGTAGCTGCCGACTCTTCTCTGGGTTTTGGCCATTAGGTGTTGGGGAAAACAGCGAAGGCATTTTAGCAGGGTGATGCGTTTGAGAATGTTTACTTAGCGGACTTGGACTTTGGTTGGAAGAGGTGGAAACTAGAGGCTAGGGTGCTGGTGGAGGGACTGAAGGGGATATGAAGGAAGAATAACTTCGGTTGACTGTTAAGTTCCAGACTGAGTGATGGAGTGCCTCGTGGGAGCACTTAATCAGGTCAGGGAAATAGAAAGAAAGGGGGAATGAGAATTTCCTTCTGGAGTGATGAGCTTACAGCGTGACCAGTGAGTGCTGGAGGGGGTGGGAGGTAGAGTACAGACCACTGGAGAACTGAGAGTGAAGAGGTGAGAGGCGACTCTAGGCATTTGGGCTTTTGGTTGCTCTCAGGAGTGACTGGGAGGGATGCATCCATAAGGGTCACAGGGTTTGAAACAGGTTTCTAATACAGAGTTTTAGCATTGATGATGCCTTAGGCTTCTGTCAGAGGCCTGTTGATATAGGTTGGTCTTTACAGTGCGATCAGTCTTTAGCTCAGGATTTATTGCAGAGAAGTTGTATCCTCTGCAAGTCTGAGGTTGGGAGAAGGCTTATGAGACTCTTCTTGTTCCACGGTGTGAAGGCCATTTACTTAACGAAGAAAACTAAGAAACATCAGAGTCTTGTTGAAGAAGATGCTTAGGTGTACATTAGGTAGGATCAGTAGTTTGGCAGGTGTCTGCGTGTTGCGTTAGACCTGTTGATCCCTGCTGCTGAGGAATTCAGAAGTTAGCTGGTAAGTCGGTATGTCTGTGAAATGGCTGGAGAAGAAGCCTAAGATACGATGGAACGAAGCATGTTTATTTAGGATTTACCTTGTTCACTGAGGAAGTTTTGAGACAGGGAGGGGGGTCACTGGAATGATTTCTTTAAAAGTTATGCTTTTAAAATGTGCAATGTAAGTAAAAAAAAAATTTAAGTTGTGACAAATACGAATAATGGCTCTAATTGCTGAAGTTCATCTTTAGGTTCTTTCATAACTAGATCTCTAAATCACCAAGTCAGTGTCTTTAATACATGAATAATGACCTTTGTGCCATTTGGCTTCTCATCAGATCTGAAGTGACAGCTTTTCATATTCTTTTCCACTCCATCCCTGCCTCACCCATTCCAGTCTCTCCCCCTAACCATGTCCCACTGGAATCATCACAGAGGCTTAGCGATAATGGTGGGGGAGCATTGGTAGGGTACCCTGTGTGTCCTGTAGACACAGTAATACTAATCACTTAACACATTTAAAGAAAGTTTAATACCTCTAATAAATGTTAAGTGTAGTAGGGTAGACTGCCATTGTAAATAAGACTGTTCTTCCAGTTCCAGCCTATAACTGAATTCAAATGACACACATCGGTGAAGCGAGGACAGCTGGTATTGCTATAGGCTGTTACCAAATAGCTATTAAAAAACAAAACAGAGAAGAATCCCAAGTTGGCACATGTACAGTCCATATGAAAGAATGTGAGTCACAAGACTTTTCAGACAGGTTTCCTCAAGCTTGCTTTTTGTCTGTAGAAGGAGCCAGCAGGTGTATGCAGGTAGGTGGCAGACAGCTACATAAGCCAGGTAGGCAGGCCCATTTAGATAAATGTTGGAACATAAACTCACCACAGTAAAAACCATCTGCCTGTTTTATGTAATCTATGCAAATGTTAAAAAAAAAAAACTTATATATTTTTATTTCTGAAAAAGTCTTCAGATACTATCTGTTCTGATCCATTCATTACAGATAGAAGGAGCCCAAGCATTAAAGTGAGTTAAGTGGCCAACCATGGTTTTGTCAGGATAACAGAACTAGGAATAGGATGGGAAGCTGCTTAATCCGCCAGCTGGCACTTTTCCAGAACAAGGTGCCATGGTGTTATCTTTCATCTTTTTAATTTAATTTTTATTTTTTTAAAATATTTTTGAGAGAGAGAGCGAACCAGCAGGGGAGACAGAATCGG